CAGTTACCGAAGAGGCGCAAGGTTCCTTTGTATTCGGTGGTGGGATAGTTTTCCCCGGAGCGGTGCTAACAAGTCCCTTGGATACAGCAAAGCAGGAGGAGCGGTCGTGATTGAGATTCTCGCCATAGAATTCATCAAGAATTGGATGAAGCATAACAGTCTGCTTGTGAATGGTGACAACTGAGTTGGTTGGGACTGAAACCCAATTGTCTGTGTATAAAATTAGTATATATGTTCATAGGTATGGAGGGAGAGAGAGAGAGAGAGAGAGGCAAAGGGTTCTCACGTCGTTCAAAGGTGATAGGCTCACTAGCCACGAGGACAATATCGGCACCCTTATCGTGTCGCTCCATCTTGAAGTGTCCTTTCGTTTCACCTTCCTTCCACTTGGTACCAGAAGAGAAATACAAGCTGGCAGGCTCGTCCGTTTTGCTGCTGATGTACCGAGTGCAAACAACAGTATGGCCATCTGTCACAGCAAAGTTCAACAAACTCCGAGTCTCAACCCCGGTGACATTATATTTCTCTGGAATTTCTTTGACCATTTCATTGATTCTGGCAATGGTCTTCATCAAAACACGACGTAGAAGAGCTTGTCCGAATCCCTCGGGACCAGGGTCTGAGCTTGGATCGACTCCTTCTTTTTCTAGAAGGTCAAGGAACAGGGCAAATGCCCACTCACTGTCGGTGCCACCTTTTACACCTAGGTACCATTTATCGGAGAGTGAGCTCCCCAGCGTACGCTTGATGTAGCTCCACCCGCCGATACCACCATTGTGCATCCACATTAGAGACTGGTGCTGGAACGGGTGGCAATTGTTTTCGGCAAGAGCTCCCTCGGTTGTTGCCCGCACATGCGCAAAAATCAGATCTGAGCATGTCTTTGCAGCGAGTCGCTCTAGATTCTCACAATTCCAGGCAGGCAGTGTTGAAGTAAAGATGCAAGGTTCTGGTCCAAGCTTGGGATCTGTGTAGAAGCCCACGCCAAACCCATCACCGTTGACAGGGCGGCGATTGTCCTTGTTATTACATGTTAGTGGGTTGTGATGCGTTGACCACGTGGGCCTGACCCGGTGAGATGGGATGACCTACCAGTCTTAGACGTGAATCATATGATTGAGTAAGGATTGAATGACTTGGCTCGGTTATCAGTTTGCTGAGACGAATCTCATTTCGCCCTTTGTATATCTTACCGAGATATTAGCTTTGGGCCCAATGCTTGGAGGGATGGACCTTACCAGGAATCGACACATGTTTGATATGGATCAAATGCAATTGGAATGATACTGAATCGAATGCCACTTCCAACTTCCAAGTTCACTAATAGCTTCAGGATGTACACCAAACTTGTAGTTCGAACAAAGGTTCAAAGGATGTATGGGGGTTGGGACAGTTGAAGAGTCACCGCCTGTTGGGAACCGGTGAGTTGTCCAAACGTCAACCACGGTGTTGCAGCCCAACAATGATATATTCGAGCTGTAATTCTCCCACGGATTACAAGAAGGGAAGATTGTTTTTATCAAAATCAACACAAAAGAGTAGTCACTTCCCTTGCACAGCACGTCATGTTTCACGTGACTGGGAATTACGGGAAGCTACGCGGCTACTTGCGCAAGTCACGGGGGCTGTTAGTTATGCTTGATGTCACATGTGCAGTGGTCCGGTCATCTACGAGGACATCACTTTTATTTTCATTTCTATTGAATGCTACCACAACAATAATGAGTGGGAGGATACTCTCCCATCGGCTAGGACCGCTACTGCGGAACGGTCACCTAACTCGCCATATTCACAATGCAGGCTCGAGGACCGGCGGCCTGCTACGCGCAGATGGTGGCGCTGCCCTCAGAGGGCGCGCATGGCCAGTGGGCGCAAATGCCATCCACAATGTCCCTGCCGTTCGATCAATTTCATTTGCTCGAATGCTTCCGAAGCTGGCATTGAAGCTTGTCAGGGTTCCGGCTATGTTCGGCGGTGCAACAATCGCGGGTCTAGCTTATTTCCAATACCAAGCAACTCGTATGTCTCTCGTGAATGAAGCTCGCTACAGGCGGGATATCAAGCTAATTTAATATTGCAGAGGCCGGTAACTATGCGATGGATGTCTTCAGGCAAGCCTCAGAGACCGCGGGGAACACAGCTTCGACCTTGTTCCAAGGACTTCAAGACATGGCAGATCAGACACAACGCGGGTGGAATAAGACGACCGAGGACATCGAAATACCTGACTGGCTGCAGAAGGTCTTACGTCTCGACGAGGAGTCTGAGTCTCGAAAGGGCGAGTCATCTGGCGGTGGAGGAGGCAAAGAGCCGAAACAAAGTCGGGCTGGTACTGCTGCCGCTGCTGCTGCTACTACTACGGCGTTTGGATACGACCAATCCAGAGAGGAAGATTTACGGCCGGGGAGGGATGCTGCGGAGGATGACCAAATGATGCTGCTCACACGCAAAATGATCGAAATCCGAAATATTCTCCAGACCATCGGCCAGTCCGGCACGCTCACTCTCCCGTCGATCGTCGTGATTGGATCCCAATCGTCGGGCAAAAGCTCGGTTCTTGAGGCTATCGTCGGCCATGAGTTCCTGCCCAAGGGCTCGAACATGGTGACTCGGCGGCCAATCGAGCTCACGTTGGTCAACACCCCTAACGCCCAGGCAGAATACGGTGAATTCCCGGCCCTAGGTCTCGGAAAGATCACGGATTTTTCTCAAGTTCAGCGCACACTCACAGATCTGAACCTTGCCGTTCCTGAAAAGGATTGTGTGTCAGATGATCCCATTCAGCTTACGATATATTCCCCCAACGTTCCGGATCTATCTTTGATCGACCTGCCAGGATATATCCAGGTTGCGGGCCGAGATCAGCCCCCAGAGCTCAAGCAAAAGATCGCCGATCTTTGCGATAAATACATTCAGCCACCAAATGTCATTTTGGCGATCTCGGCTGCCGACGTTGACTTGGCAAACTCAACAGCACTTCGAGCCAGTCGTCGAGTAGACCCTAGGGGTGAGCGGACTATTGGTGTGATTACGAAGATGGACCTTGTCAGCCCCGAACGTGGCCACGATGTCCTTTCCGATAAAAAATACCCCCTTCGGTTGGGCTACGTGGGTGTTGTTACCCGAATTCCTCAGACAACAGCTCTCTTTTCTAGAGGCTCTGGAAATATTACCAGCGCCATTCTCAAGAATGAACAGGCCTACTTCTCTGCGCATCAGAATGAATTCGGTCCCCACTCTGATGTCTCAGTTGGTGTCTCGACACTGCGAAAAACGCTAATGCAGGTTCTTGAGCAGACCATGTCATCTAGCCTAGCTGGAACCAGAGATGCCATCAGTCAAGAGCTTGAAGAAGCAACATATGAGTTCAAGGTTCAATATAATGACCGACCTTTGAGCGCGGAGTCCCACTTGGCCGAGAGCCTCGATGCTTTCAAGCACTCCTTCAAGGCATTCGCGGAGAGCTTCGGGCGACCGCAGGTTCGGGAGATGCTCAAAGCAGAATTGGACCAGCGGGTCATGGACATTCTGGCGCAACGCTACTGGAACAAGCCAGTCGATGACTTGGATCCTCCACTGCTGGAATTAGATCCCCTCAAGGATCTCCCTAAAGCTGATCCTGAGTCGCTATATTGGCACCGGAAGCTTGATGCTTCTACCTCGTCGTTAACAAAGCTTGGAATTGGTCGGTTGGCTACGACTGTTGTCGCCAATGCTCTCAACAACCATGTGGACTCTCTTCTAGCCTCGTCTACGTTCGCCTCTCACCCTGGTGCTCACAAACAGATAATTGATGCATGCACCAGCATCCTCAATGACAAATTCTTCAGCACTAGTGATCAGGTGGAAAATTGCATCAAGCCATATAAGTTTGAGATCGAGATCGAAGACCCTGAATGGGCTAAAGGCAGAGACAATGTGGGCAAGGTTCTCAAGGAAGAGCTTAAGGCGTGCGAGTCGGCCATGAAGCATGTGGAAGAGACAGTTGGAAAGCGAAAACTTAAAGACGTTATCTCGTTTATCGACAGAGTGCGAAAGGGCGATGTAGTATTAGAGGGCAACGGTGAAGGTGGCGCGGGCGGTTTCAGTGCCGCCTTGTTGGAGCGAGGTTGGTATTTCCCTCTTTCTTCTATTTACAGGCACTAACATATATTATCTAGGACGAGAAGGCCTCTTCCTTCGAGACCGAGCGGATATTATCAAGATGAGACTGCTCGCCGTCCGGTCCAAGCAATGCGCAACACAAAAGAACAAGTACTACTGCCCAGAGGTCTTCCTGGATGTCGTGGCAGATAAACTCACCTCCACCGCCGTTCTATTCCTCAACGTCGAGCTCTTATCTGAGTTCTACTATAATTTCCCTCGTGAGCTTGATTCAAGACTTGGACGACACCTTTCAGACGCCGAGGTCGAGCGGTTTGCCCGCGAGGATCCCCGCATCCGCCGTCACCTGGACGTCATCCGCAAGAAGGAGCTGCTGGAGCTGGCTCTGCAGAAGATCGAGGGCATCCGACAGCTTGACGGCCGTGTCAGGAAACCAGAGCGTGCGCCTCCTGGAAAGGAAACGCGAAGCCGTTGGAACCTTTTCTAGAATATCTGATGTTTAGGCTTTCTGACCCTTCCCCCTTACTATCTGTACCAACCCCTCGTTTTTTTCCCTTCTCAACCTGGAGTTTCGATACCTCTGCTAGTGTTCTCATCACTCTCTTTATCATGTTTAGCCATCTTCTCCCCTTACCTTTTTCCTCTTAAGATAGTATGTATCTCTAGATGTTTCAAAGTCAATGTACATAGTTCTAGGCCGTTCATCACAAACTCAAGATAATGCATTCCCTGCATTATCTCTTCTCCATTCTTGATCTGTAGAAATTCCAGCTCCCCCGGACTTTGGCTGGCAAGTACCCGGCCTACATATGAACGTACGAGGATTCCTACCAAAGGGCCATATTACACGAGCCCCATGTACTCCATGGACAGTGCATCTTGTCCCCAGTCGGTGATTATTTGCTTGGTCTCCTCCAGACCATGAAGAATACGGGCCAGGCCGTTACCATAGCGATTCCAAAGATAGTATCTGCCATTTGATTCAAACAAGAGGCCGTTGGTGTCTTGGGATACAACACCGGTACCCAATATGTGAGGCCACAAGTATCAGTCATGCGTTTTTGAGCACCGTATTCTCTCTCCCATTCATTATATTTAAGCTTTGCTGGCTCACTCGAGAATCCAAGAGGGTCAGTCGGGGCCCACTGTTTTCGTTAGCCATAATTTTCATAGAAGGGGGATGATATATACTTACCCGTGCTGGTTTCGTGCCGTCCATAGGCTCTGCCCACCAAGTTGGACTTCCTGGTGGAGGGTCGGCTTTTTCGAGAAATACAGTGGCACTAGACCAGCAAGCCTTCTGGATGGGCGAGTAGGCTTCCTATTAGGTTAACATGGTTCATATCAAGCATATTCGGATCAGCTTTACCGGATAATTGATTTCTTTGGAGTTGGGTAGTTTTGACTTTTTTGAAGCCATTTTCCTATACTGTCAGGAATGAAGAATAATATACCTAGGTAGGCAGGCTTTTTATGGCGTGAGAACAACCGTAGACCTCGGGAGATATTTTGGGCTATGTAAGAAAGGCAACAAAGAAACAATGTAAGTTTATAAAAGGAATAGGATGGTTTGTATTTTGCTTATTCTTTGAGAGTGCCCCTGTTATTGTTCGACTATCTCTATTTATGGTCAGGTGAATCTATTATGGTACGCCTTTGATAATCCATACTATTTTGTGCACTGACGGGTCTTTCGTGACAACTAATATCATGTCCTTGACAAAGGCGCGAGTCCCCAACATGGGATTATTATTTAAACGGTAGATTGCCCACAAAGCTCCAGGGCTACCTAGGACAATAGCACAATAGAACAATCGCAATGTCAATAGCCCCGACCTCTTCCACCGAGGCATATTTGCCGGCTTGTAATGGTCAAGTGAACTTGAGACAAGCATGTACTTGGAGCCTAACACGAGTAAGTTGCTACAACTGTGCATTGAAAGATAACCAAAGCTGACTATCCCCAGATCAAAGTTTTCATGATCAAGGTTATAGACAATCATTCTACCTATGGAGTGAAACGGACGGTCGTACCAGAATTGAAACGACTACGCACCGATATTCTCGATCTCGGGTAAGTTGGATGTCCGCTAGACTTTGTATTCTGTTAACTAATGGATTCTTACAGCGAAAATGGGAGCAGGTATCAGTCCGAGCCCCTCTACCCCCAGGCAATTTCGAGGACGGTTAACCCAGCAGCGGCCAATGAGGATGAACCATACTTCTTGTTGGATGAATTGACATATGGAGGTGTTTCATATTGGAACTCCTTTGACCTTCTAGGTAGGTTCATTTCCCTTACTGGACCAGCACCCCGAGGTGCCACACAGGACAATTTCTACTTACCTCTGACACTAATGTACATCAATTAGTGTCGTAAAATAGCTCCGATGCCCCCGTGGGTGTATTCGTGCATCTGGGCAGAGCAAACGGATATGTAGAGCCACTTCCACCTAGGAGGATCGCTCGCGGGGTATCGCAATCCAGAAGGGCAAGGCAACCGCTGGGTCAAAATTCTGCAACGAGCTCGTTTCGATGTTCTTCGTGATCAAAGAATTGACACAGCGGGAATAAAATTCGAGCTTACAGTTTTAAGGGGTCGAGGAGGTCATCCTATTCCTTTTGGAAACTGTGCAGAAACCTATCCTCTCGCGAATGTCCTACGGTGAGTCCATACCTTTGAGCTCCTTTGTGTTCCATGCTAACGAATTAGGAACCGTGCCTCTGGTGAGGAGGTGTATGGCTTTGCGGTGATGCTTAGCAAGCTACCCAAAGATGGCCCATGTAGCCACTCGCAGGCATTGGATGCAATGACTAAACCTTGCGCTAATTGTCAACAGGTGATAACCACATGGGGTGGAAAAGTAGAGAACTTCATCACAGATGATATGCCAGAGAGAGGTACCATTTCAACTTTTGGGGTGCAATCGCCTACATCACCTTTGGACCCAAGAGCATCTACATCGAAAATCGATTTACCAGCCCATCCGAAGCGGGCTGCTCCAGCAGACGATACCGATGAACCTGCGGCGAAAAGGGCTAGAGGTCCGGCACCTGAGGTTCCTAACAAGCCATCTCATTTAGACAAGGGAAAAGGCAAACGGAAATAAGATGTTGGGATATATAAGATTTTAAAGGCACTCGTTTTTTAGAGAGGGAGAGATATATATATATATATATATAAATGTATATATAGGTAAACTTTGTGAAGCTTTGATATTAAAACTATTAAATGCGACTATCTACATGAATCAATAGTGTTCTTAATATCCTTAGTTGATTTCAATCATCGAGCCTTTATAGTACTATTTTTACCATATTCTCTCCCTTCCCTTCACCATCCACAACGCCTTTCAAATGGACAATAGGCTCCCAGAGATACCTCCACATACAGTTCTATGTAATTAGACCCCCAAGAGACCTTTACCAACCAGATCTCTTTGCGCAAATCTCGTTGCCAGAGTATGGTGGGCTTCGTATGAACATGCTTTACAATTTGGTTGCCAAGTCCTCGGATGAGGCGGCGGCATTCTTTTACCAGATGATGTATCGGAGCCATCCTGACTTGGAGAGGGTTTCTATCGAGTGTGATCCAGATACCCAGATGGACAGGGAACCATACTACCTCGAAGCGACGATGTCGGCCAATGCGTGGACGGATATCGTGCTCGATACGTGGAACTCGCCGTATCTTGAACCTCATCTTTGGCCGCAATTTGGTGAGGATACTTGGATGTGGGATTTGGTACGAGGACTTCAATCGTCGATGGGAGATATCGATCTTGATGTGGTCTATGTATTGAGAAAACATAGGGAGGTGCGGAGTTGGGAAGTGTGCGTGCAGAGCGTGAGAACGCACACACCGGACGGGGGTGGATACCCCCTTCTGAACGAGGATGGAGATCTGTGATGTTGATCCGGAGAATAGAGAAAGGAATGTCGTCCAGCGACCAAGATATGGAATCCAAACATGCAGTGTGATAGCGCTACACTATCCAAGGGAGAAAAAACACTTCATAGTTGCAAATGACAGATTCAATACAACAATCCCAGACCCAGTCTATATATTCCTATAGCGTACAGTACAGTCTTAAAAACCGGAAGAGAAATAAAGAAGACGCGAATTAATGCTTTTGTCTCTGGCCGGAACCAAATGCAGCACCAAAAGTGTGTCAAAAGAGGAAAGACGGGAAATGGATATGTCTATCACGGTCACAAGTGCAAAGAAAGATAAAGACAAGGATAGTGGGGGATGGCATAAGGGGGGGCGTAGCGGGATACATTGCACAGTCAATGTGCCAGGAAAGGCATTTAATAACCAAAAGAAAAATGTAGTATGGCTGGCAATATTACAGAAGATCATCGAAACCGGTTGGAGATGTTTACTCCCGGGAGACATCACGACCAAAGAGACGAGCCTTGACCCAGTCAACACAGACAAGGACACGGTTGCGAGCTGGATGATATGTTAGTGGTGAATCTCAAATCAGTGTTGGATAGAACGTGAAACTTACTGCTGAAGCACATGCTCAGGTAGGCACTGCGCCAGAACAAGTAGGTCATAGTACCACCGCTGGCGATGTTGCCGCTCAGCCAGCTGATATCGGCGACGGCACGCTCCTTACCGATGTAGGCCAAGGAGCCCTGGTGCGAGTACTGGAAGGGACCGATCTGCTTGTTGCGGCGGAGCTGCTTCTGGCGCTCACGAATCTCGTCGAAGATCTGGTTGCGCTCCTCGGCGCCCTTGGCCTGGGACTGACGCTCTGAGAGGGTCTCCAACTCTTTCTCGAGAGCCTCGGTCTTGGCCATGGTGTTGAAGAGGCGGCCCAAGAAGGCACCCTCCTGACCAGCAACCTGAGCGGTCGGGGCGTAGTTGGCAATGGCGCAGTCACCGACAGCCCAGACGTTCTCGGTACCGTTCACGACAAGGTATTCGTTGACAGCGAGACCGCGGCGGGACTCGGCCTGAGCGGGGATCTGGGACATGAGGTCGCGGACGACACTGCGGACAGCGTTACCGGTGGCCCAGACGAGAAGACCGTAGGGGATGGTCTCAAGCTCCTTGGATCCATCGGGCTTGGTCACCTCGGCCTGGATGTACTTGTCGGTAACCTTCTTGACCATGGTCTTGGCGCGGATGGAGATCTCCTCCTCCTTGAAGGTCGATTCGGTGTAGTCAATCAGTTGCTTTGAGAACATGGGCAGAACGTTGGGGAGAGCCTCGACGAGAGTGACGTGGAAGTTGTCCTTAATTTCGGGAATCCACTTCTTCAAGTCATCGTTGAAGAAGTCCTTCAGTTCACCGGCGAATTCAACACCAGTGGGGCCACCGCCCACCACAACCATGTGCAGCAGACGCTTGACCTCTTCCTCGGTTTGATCCTTGAAACAGGCAGTCTCGATACAGTCCATAATACGCTTGCGGATGTTCTGGGCGTCACCGACTTCCTTCAGGAAGCAGGAGTTCTCACGAACACCGGGAATACCTACACGTCACAAAATTAGTCCAAAAATGCATCGTTCCAGATGCGAGAGAGGATCCTACCAAAAGTCGCGTTCTCGGCACCAACACCGATCACAAGCATGTCGAAGGGAACCTCGGTGTGCGAGATATCACCCTTAATTTCCGAATCATCACTGATATACACAATCCGCTTCTCGTAGTCGATCTTGGTGGCCTCGGCCTCGTAGAACTGGACACTGGCCTTCTTGTGGCGCAGGATATTTCGGATAGGCTCCATGATCGAGCGGTGCTCGATCAAACCGGTGGTACATGAGGGCAGCAAGGGGGTGAAAAGGAAGTAGTTACGGGGGGAGACGACGATAACGTTGTAGTTCTCGGTGTCAAGCTTTTTTAGGAGGGAAACGGAGCCCCAGCCAGTTCCTGAACGAACATAGTCGCGTTAGCGACACTTCGGCTTAGACCGTAGGGGATCAACAATCGCGACCGACACATACCGAGAATGACCAGAGTCTTCTTTGATGGGTCAGGCGGGGCCTGGTCCGGGGGTTGACGGAGTTCGAAGATGCTGTATGCGACAGTACCGGTCAGACCGATGGCAGAGAGCCAGGTCAACCGCCATGCCCAACGCAGAGCTCTGAAACGCTTCTTGGGCTTCGGGGCAGGCGAAGGAGCAGCATCAGCGTAGCCACGACGAGCGATACGCGAGACAGACTGGGAAACCTTGGTAGACCGCATGGGCTTTGCGCGAAGGGCCAGCTGCGATGTCGACATCGACCTGCGCGTCATCGACGATAGCTGCATGATGGACGGAGCCATCTTGCGAATTGCTAGCGTGGTGCCAGCCATTGTGAGAGGGCGCACCAAAGGTAGCAAAGGGAATGCAAATAGGATGAAATGTCAAGGGTGACTGAATAATTTAAAAAGGAAAAAAAAAAGATTTGATAAGCTCCATCATTGCGTTGCTGCTTTGGGCGAATCGGTGTACCCGGACCAAAGGGGGTGGCCATGTATACAGTACTTGGCTGATTGCGTGCTTCATGCAGTAAATCTAGGTACTGTGTACATTTATCACTTTTTTTCACCTACTAATTCAATTATTTCAATTACTTGATTAGTATATATATATATATACTACTCTCACCTTTTAAACTAATAACATATATAACATGTATAATATATAAAAACTTGACTATATAATAACTGCCTAATTGGTTAATATCACAAGCCAAAAGAAAAAAAAAAAAAAAAAAAAAAAGGGAAAAAAAGAGGAGACAAGAAAATTGGAGAACTGAGGGGACAAGCAATCTCCCGGTGAGGAGAAATTAACCGGGGAACTTCAAACTCGGTCTATCGGTCAATGTTTTGGGGTAAAATTGTGCAACTCTGAGATTATCTTCAATGATCTTTGAATTGATATTCGAATCCTACAACAATAACCCATACCTTACAATGTTCCCCCTTTCTTCCCCGCCCCCCCAATTCCCAAGACTTACGGCATTCTCCGACTCTCAACCGGTATTACCCGCATATCTATTCCGCATAATTTGTCTCTCTCTATACGGAGTACGGAGTAGCCACTTCTGAATGAATATGGTAATCTCTGACGTTATCCGCGCTAAAGCTATCTAATGGCAAAATCCGGGGAAGTTCGAAGCTCCACTCTCATCGCTGGTCCGGTTTCTTCCATCTAACCTTAGAAATCCCGATGGGTCTGACTACTTTGTATACAGGAAACGTCGGCCAAAATCGGCCGGTCATCGTTGGAGCTTAATTGTACTCGTGATGTGATCAATCGGAAGGACTCCCGGTCTTTATCGTCTCCATTCGGGATTCGATATCAGCTCCGATATGACGCATCACAGAAAGAAAATCGGCTCGGGGATTAGTAGCTAGAAGTCTCGGTGCTTCAAATGTGTGAGTATAAGTGAGGCTAAGAAAAGTATGAGGTGATGTCAGCATCATATATCCTGTTCAAAGTGTAAGCTACATAATATGCCCAGGTGATAAGTTCACCCAGCAGTTCCTTTTCATTGGTCAATTGAGTGTTTGCACCAATATGTTTGTTTCTGCTCATATCACCCAAAGGGTCCACGAGGGCCGTCCTTTGATTCCAAGGCATATAAAAGGATGCCATATGACCTCAGATCCCCAGAGTGTCAAGATAATGTGTATTACGCATAACCTAGGATATCAACCGAGACATCATGGTCTGATGTGACAGACCCTTAGATATGAAGACCAATGCTAAATTTGTGATAAGAACAGGACAATATCATGTCTAAACCTACACGGGATATCGTCCGTGAGATCCGACGTCGGCATGAACACAAGACCAGCAACCCAATGACCAAAAAGTTGACTGGATGTAATATGATATGCGTAGTGCAATATACAATCCAACGGGGATCCCAAGCTCTTTTATATATGAAGACAAATCCGCGGCCCCCGACCCAAGCCAGAAAAAGAACACAATACATCCAGCATTACAAGCCTAGGAACAGCAGAACCTAGATGCAACATTGAACAAAGTCTAGACGTATCTACGAGTGATAGCCTGGACGGATTTCAAACATGACGGCGTTAGTAAATGGCCGTCTATCCGCCCACAGAGTATGCAAGTAAGCAGTGCTGGGAGCCTGTAACTGCAGAGACTGTCTATTATTGAGTAGACTGAAACCCTGCTTGACGAGTGTACCTGTGTGTTCTCATGCGGGTACAAGCATAAAGTCCCCCTTCTGCTGATTATTTGCTCCGCCTTTGGTTGTCTACGCGTCCATCTGGATTGCATCTGGGTTGGTTGGGTATGTCGGTGTCTCCGTGTCGGACGAGGTATCGTATTTTCATCGAAGAGTATTGAAGGGATAGGGATGCAGGATGCGGCTCAGATTGGTGTATGAAATATCTTGCGTTGTACTTCCCTTCCCCCCCCCCAATCGGCCCTGTCTAGTCAGATTTGACATCGCCTTGGATCTTCATGGGGTCCGTTTGCCGGTGTTACGGGAGGAACTATACATATAGCCGCACTGCGACATCAGAATGTAGCCAGTCAGTTCATAAGATATTTCGGAGCCGGGAAATGTGAGTTTCCATTATAGCTATGGCGAGGCCGAATCGTGATGTTAGGAAGGTGCTTCTTTGTCTTCGTGTCTGTATCTCTGGGTAGAATATAGATGTAGACCCAGGTAGTATGTTATTGGGATTTCGCCTTATCTGTTGGATTGTTTCTGCCATGCTTGCTTCCATCAGCGTTAACCGTTTGGGTCTGCGGGTGCATGGGATGCATTTATTTGATGGTGGAATATTGTTGACTCGAGTCTGTCGACAGGGAGCCTTCGCTGGTTTGAAGACACAAGATATAGAATTAAAATACCAATCAAGATCAAGAGTTGACATCAACGAGTATGATCAAATATTCCATTTTACAGACTAGTGATCTGCACTGTCTGGGTTTAATGAGTCTGATGACTGGGTGGGGAGTAGATATCAGATAGAAATTGAGGCGAGCATCGCTTGAATTATCAAGGCAGACTCCATCAAGCTTTCAGACCCAATAATGGCATTGTAGAGAACTACTGCTCACCCACGAAGCCCTGGTTTCTTGGTTGATTATTCTCGAGTCAACTGCAAGGCTCAATTTGTGCTGTGGCGCTGTGATGCAAACAATGTAGAAGATAACTTTCGTTATCGCAGTTTGCCTCGAAGGAACTGGTCTCCACGTGCTGTCAACAGAGAGAGACACGCATATTCAAAAACGAATACATCGGTTGGGCTGACGTTAATCAGATTCCTCGCATTTTTGAAGCAAGGCTAGACCACATGAGAATAGCCTTGTATTAGTTAGTCGACGGCGTATTGTGGTAATCGGAAACGAGGAATCAATCCACAGTATGTCATGGTGTGCATCCCATTCAGGCCAGTCGATTCCACTCCAGGCAAACGAAAAGAATACCAAGGCAAAGCTGTGAGCGGCCCGTCATCAGCAGCTCACAACCCCGCCAAAGTCCAAGGAATGCTCCGACCAGCAAAACCCTGGTCGGGTTCAGAAATAGCACGATTGAATAAACCCGTCACCGCAGAAAGTTCGACGGCGAACAAAGAAACCTTGGAAGTTTGATTAGATTTGCCCTCAACCCGCGATTACCGAAGAGAAGAAAAGGTGAGTAGAACAGGATCAGAGAGCGGTTACGCCAAAAGCACAAACCCGCCACTGCCCTGTGTTCCCTGGTTATGGCCATGACCATGTCTCAATAATCTGCCTGGAGCCCTTGGAAGGAGGCGTCGTCAGCCACCAACCCCGGGAGGTCAAAGATTTAATTCCAAGTGGTATACTTTGTAGATTTGGAGACACAGTGAATGATGATGATGGAGCGAATTCGAATGCGATTGGTTCTAGGTCTTTGGATCTTCACGGTTAATTCTCGTCATTTACCTCGGAAAGTTGAATCTGCAAAGGATACTCGAAACACGGTGATTCGATCTGTGAGATGTCGATGACTGTGACATATGTGCTGTTCATCCACGGCGCTGTGCAGGCGAGGGTAGTCCGATCCACATAAAATCCAAAAAAGTGACAATGTGAGGTTTCCCAAGGTTACTTTTGCCGTACATCCGTACTCTTCTTTTTTTTTTTTTTTTTTTTTCTTTTCTGAAGTTTCATGTTGGCACTGGTATTATTGGATATTTGTATTTCACATCTACAATATACAAGAGCGTACAGTGTTACTGGCTGAAGATTGGAAATAAGCCCAGCTCGGGACTGTACCTGGCATTGCAACACGTCTTGGACCGGGGAAGACGAGCCATTTCCCATAGGACGGCTTACTTCAGTTGAAACACTTTGGTTATTTTATTTTAGTTAGTCTCATTTCCCTCGAAAAAAAACTCCGAAAAAAAGTGAAAACAAGAAGTGGCTCCCGGATGTAGACGGGATATCATTGATGTGATCTTGGGTACGAAGTACTCCGTACACTTTGTACTATACTCCATACTCCATAGTAAGAAAGGGTGTAAGTCAGATTCTGTACGCGTTGACTGCTCCACCACTCACAGCAACAAAGCTAAGTGGTAGTTTTTAAGGCAGAATAATTTCCAAGGTTATTTCATAATTTATTTCCTGGATCGGATGCCGGGAAGTGTAGACTGGTGTTCCGACTGGGATCGTCGAGTCGTGACCGCTACGCATGTATTATTATTATCGGAGCTCTAGACTCTCGAGACCAATGCTTTCCTCTACCTTGGTATGTACCTGGTATTATTATTAAGCATCGAAAACTACCTAGGTACTAATCTTAGACGTTCAAGGCGACCCCCTGAGACAAAGCTACGTAATAGATCCTATGTCTCCCCACACTTTATACTGACATGTGCACCGAGTCCGGAGTACATTGTAATGATTCTGGAATCTGATTACGTTGTATGATGGTAGAGAGTCGACTCAACTGGAACAGACACCGGATTTTAGTTTCTACACCGTCAGTACGCAGTACCGCATTGATCGTTGATCACGACCATCCATAAGCCACCGAGCGGGGGGGGCAAGAGTATCGATTACCCCGAGCAGGGCTCCGTTGAGTCAACGCGCGGTAGATGTTGAAATCCGTCAAAGTCAAATCACGAAAGCAAACAGTCTTTTGATGTACACTCCAAAAATGTCAAGATTCAAGACCCTCTTAGTCTCAGCGCCCAGCGCCGAAACCAGCGCTTTGTGATGTGCTCGGGGCGCCTCGCACAATCTAGACAAATTCCGAGATAAGTGCTAGCTAGGGTCAAGCAAAAGGCCAAAAAGTTAAAAAATAAAATAAAAAATAAAAGAAAACATAATGATGGATTATTGCCCCTCAGCTTGCTCTGTCTTTGAAACCTTTTGAGCATGTGGGTTGTGTGGGCTCGTCCAACCCCTCCACGAAGACGGAGTACCTCTGACATTCGGCCCCTCTAGGGGGGCGCTGAAGTCTGGAATCGGAGATCAGCCTCAAAAGACATCAACTGATGGCTCAAGATGACTTCGTTCTGTCACACGGCCCCGTGTGCCCGAGCCCATTTGCATCTGCCCTTGACAAAGTGTGCGCTTCCGGTCGAGGTCAAGGTCAGGTTGCTGCAGTTTGTCGGTGACTGCTCGGGAGAGAGAAGGCAACCCTATAGGTGGCGTGCAGTTGGGTAAAATGGATCTGATCATCGTGAGACTGCAGCGCTAGAAATATCCATGGATCTGGGTGCCAAGCGGTCTCACCCACAGAACAACTTCAAAGGGCATACCTAGGTACTGTACTCCGTATATCACATACAATATACTCCGTTTAGAATGTTGTACTCCGGACTCCGACGTCATAGAGAAACTATCTAATATTAACATTTTTACTCCGTAGTGACAATCTATACGATGTAATTGACGCCCAAAGGACCGGATCTGCAATTTCGAGTCCCCAATTTAATTTCGTTAACTTCCACCTGGGTGTTGGGTCTAGTAAGAATTAACCCCGAGGCAAAACAAAGAGGATCCTTCCATCCTCGACCGGTTCAAGTGGCGATCCCCTTTAGAGATGTTTGCATGCCGTCTCCTTCATCCCGGGAGTGGATCGAAAGACGCTAGGAAGAGGAAATTAATTGCAGCAGCCTTATGCTATTGAAACCGAAAACAAAATGTATGTTGTATAGTAGCCCCGGGCGCATCAAACCGCAGATAATCCGCAATGACATAGATAATTGTAACCCACACATTACAAGGTTGCGAGAGCGGAGAAAATCCCAGATAGTACATGCATTGATAGCAAAACCAGAATACTACCTGTGATGTTATGTGATATCGAGGCAATGACCTAGGATTTCTATGTTGTATACTGTTTAGTATCTACGTTGCCCTCAGTACTTTGTAGGGACCCGCAAGGATGGGAAACATGCAAGGAGCCTTGCCGGGTAAGAGGCACAGCAAGGTGATTGAATACGGCATTGAGAGAGATCCTGAGTATTTTTTATTTTGCTTTCGCAAAGTGTAGATTTGGAGGGGGGTGGTTTTTTTTGGCCTTGCGACTGACGCATCAGATAGGTTACCTAAAAGTAAGAAAGAAAAATTAAATTGAAATTAAATGCCACAATATTTCCAAGCAATTTAAAATTGTAGAGGAACTTGATGCCGGGCGCGGAGGGCTTGTACCGAAATCCAAGCCCCGCCGTGGTAATGATGAAGGTGTCAGGATATTAACGCGTAATAGAGCCACAAAGGGCACATCCTGTGGTAGTCACTGAGTACGGAGTAAGCGGGTTATCTGTTTTGCATCATTCTACTATAGTAGAAACTACCCTGTATAGGGAGATTATACAACATAATACAATATAGGACTACAACGTAAGTTGGTGTGATCGACTTCAGCTTTGCTAACTTAGATCAGCCACCTGGGCACCCCGACCATAGATTCTAGATTTCGTTCTCGTACGGAGCATCTGCCCGTAATTAAGACATGTACCGGAAACTTTGGATCTTTAGTCCCAATCAAGAGGCAATATCGATGTGTGGTTCTGTGGAAAGTGCTGCGCACAAGTGCGGAGATGTTCCCAAGTGCCCCATGACTGTACATGGACTGGTACGTGATGGCGGTACTTCGGACATAAGGTCGAGGATGTGAGCTCGGATGATTTCCATGATAGGATGGGGTTCCGTGTGCATCAGGTCGACACACAGATGTCAGTAGACGATGCACCTTGGAATTTATGACTCTGCGGAAGAGACTATCATGATCATAGCGGTCGCAATCAACTGCATGCGCCAAGGTTTGAAGGTACAACTTGTCTAAGAGTGACCATTGGCAGGGGGTGATACTTCCAGACCTGATCTTTTCCAAGGGAGGGTCTTTTTTTTTCCCATAGAAAAAAAAAAGCAATTAAATATTCATATATTTCCCCCCACACCTTCTGTACAGAAATTAGAGACAAAAAAAAGGTCGGTAAAAGCCTGGCGGTGCCCAGGTGAACTCTGCAGGTAGTACTGTGCCGAGGAATCTCACCCGCGAAAGGCGATAGGTAACTTGTGGAGCTGTCGGGAATTGTGCACAAGTCGAAATGAAGTGCCGCAACCGGGATGGCAAGTTAAAGAGTTCATTTTAGAAAACTCCTTTTTTTTTTATTTCTGACCCACCAAGAGAAGATAAAAGCGAATGTAGATCAAGGGGCGGAAACAAAAGGGCAAAGCTCCGAGTCAAACACCTTTGATGCTGACTTCCAAGGCTGGGCTTCTCTTTTGTTCTCTGTATGACTGTGACAAGTGAACACACCCTTGGCCCAAAATAGTAAAAGACGGGTCACTCTTGTAATTCGCCAATCAGTAGTCGCCTTTACACCAAAGCGACATTGGTTTTTTTTTTTTTTAAACCATCAACAGCATGGATCGTCTGACAAGATGGGCCACTATGACACAGTGGACTTTTCCTTGTTCAAATCCACCTTCTCTGTCTGGGGGTTCTAGAAACGAAACATCTTCCGTGGCGGTGGCTCAGAAACCAAGAAAGTGGAGAGAGAGAGAGCAATTTCTTTCTTTTCTTTTCTTTTGTAATTTCGCCCGATCAACTATTTCCTTTTTATGAAGGTCCACGATTTGGTGACCCGGCGCCTGGTTCTCAGCTTGACCGTGGGTTTGCCACTAAAATAGCACACTTGGATCGTCCCTAGTCAAGTTTGGAGGTTACCCAAGTTGCCTGGTTTCGGATGTGAACTGGTGATGTGATAAACCCAAGTGTCTCTTGTGACAGTCCGATGATCTTTCAGGGATGAAGTTCAATACGTTGGATGCTTTTGCATGCGTCTAAAGGGAGATGTCCACTGAATGGTGTGTGCTCCGTGCGTGCTTACTGTTAAAGAGTGTGGACATACCCCAAGGGACTACTCCGTAGTACTCCGTACTTCCTCTATGCCATGGTACCGGGATGTCACTCAATTCCGTAATTCTTTTTACAGAATAGTTTGCGAGGGGTGTGCCCATTTCTAGGCACAGTCTCGGTTTTTTCTCCAAGGGATGACCGTTGAGGCGGCACGAGTGACCGATGGATTCCAATTCCTCCAGCCAATCTAGGCCCGTTGCACTGAGATTTCTCTAGCCTACTGCACTAGATCACAAGTGCAACTATATGCCACCTTACGTGAGGCTTGTCACGTCTAGATAGGTCACAGTATTTTGAGTGAAACAGCCAATTCTACTCACTTGGGGCCAACAACAGTGTATGGAGTACTCCGTATATGCCACTCATGTGCCCATCTAGGCTCGGCTTAACACAGGGGCGTTTGGACGGGACATAAATACCGATGTACCAGTACTTTTCTACCAAAGTAGGTATGTGGTAACCAACTGTAGGAGGCAGCAAAAATACCTTGGGGAAGCCCAGTGCATAAAAGCCGGACGAATCAGAGGATAGGATTCCGGCCCTCCCCCGAGGCTCCTGAACTATCAAATTGGTCCATCACTGGGATATACTGTACGAAGTACGGAGTAATTATGATGAGATACCCCCTGAATCATAAACAGGAAAGTCGTCCGGAACAGTGGGCTGCAGGGGAGACGCGGGATGAGACCAAGATTTTCGAACACGAAAAGACGCGAACATACGAAGTACTAAATAATTAGTTATCTCCGAACCCGTCCATATAAACCCATAATAGAATGAACCAATGAACCAATGACCTGTTGGCAGCGGCTAACAAGTCGGGGAGTACGCGAGCACAGGTGTGATGAGCTGGAAGCAAGCAGACGAAAGCCCATGGACCGTGGACCGGTCGTACACGGGATAAATTAACATAAAATAAAATAGGAAAAAAGAAAAAGAAAAAGAGAGAGAGAGAAAAGAGAAATTTGGCCTGAGACTTTTAGTGGACCATTCCTAGGTAGTACTACAGTATACGTGTAAATTTGACATATTCTCGTCTCTAATTGGTCCAATTCCCAGTAATTTTGCCTTCTTACATAAGAATGCACCATTCTTACCGAGACTCCCGATCTTCCCTTTGGTCTTTGGTTTCTCTTGGGTTTCTCTTTGGTCTCTCTCTCTCGCCTAAACCAAGTAATTGATCTTCCATTCTCTTATTATTGGTTTCCTTTTTTTTTTTTGGCTCTCTCTTTTTTATTTTTTATTTTTTATTTTCTTTATACTTTTATTTTCTTGGTTCATTCCTTTGCCTTTCCCAGTATGGAGTGCTATGTACGGAGTACACCCAGCCACTGTGCTCAAACCTCCCTAGGCCCCGCGCTTCCCGGCAACCCCCCTTTAGCCCTTTTTTTTCTTTGCAGGACGGAGGCGTACCTACATGCTTGCACACCCTCACAGCCCTTCACCTCGCATAACACGGGTTTGTAATTTATTGACGCTAAACCTGACTTATTATTGGATCTGATATGGGTCTCAGGATTGAACCTCCCTTCTCTCTCTTTTGATTTCAACTTGATTTGGGTTTTACTTTTCCTTTTGAGCAAATTCTTTTGGGGTTACTTTTTATTTTATTTTATTTTATTTTCGCTTTCACTAGTCCCACGCTATGCTCGGTCAACTTCATTTTACTGCAAATGTGAGGCCGGGACCAGGTAAACATTCTGTGACTTGCCCTTTTTAGTTGCATCCACTTGTTGACCACCCCCGTGGCTCTGACATCAACCGGTATTTCCACTTTGATTATTTTGTTACCTTGTTACCTTGTTACCTTATTGGATTATTGGATTATTAGATTATTAATTTTTTTTTTTTTTCCAAATCGAGATAGACTAAACCCGGACCCAAACGAGCCCAGAAAGGAGGATCAACCTGGACCTGCGTCCGGGTCAAACTCTGTGTATGGCCACTATCGCTTTCTCCGGATGGGGTGGACTGTGGACTTGGTTAATGGAGATGATGCCTTGACTACATTTATTATTTTATTTTATTATTATTTTTTGCATTTTCTTGTATTTTTTTTTTCTTTCCTCATCTCTGAGTGGAGCAGCCGGATCTCTGTGGTTTATCACTACTTTCCTTATATGGGCCTATCGTGGCTACTCTATATACATCATTCAAACTCCCTGTGAAAGGTCTATATTCACTTTTCCCTCACTTGGAATAAAACATCTCTACCCTTTCCTCCTTGATTGCATTCCAATTGGGCAGGAACCTCACCACTTATTGTCTATTGCTTGGCTCTATTTGCACCTTTTAATAGAGAGAACATGGGTCACTGAAACTCCTCGGTTCTCTCCGCCGACGCCTTTATTTGCTTTGATCAAAAAAAAAAGAAAAGAAATAAAACTCCATGTGTCGACCTTTCTGTCCATCACTCACTCTTTCCCTATGTCTTCCACTGCGGACTTCCATTCCTCCTTTTCGACACTGGGAGTTCCAACTATCGACCTGACTGAGGATCAACCGTTGAAGGCCGTTGAGAGCCAAACATCGGGATCCTCTCGGACTGTTCCCATTCGGAACGGTCTACCAACCCCACCTCACGATATGACAGGCCTCACCTACAATGCCATGCCACCTATCGCATATGGGGGGAAACCGAATGGGATGCCCTCTCACCTCTACAGCCATTCGCGCCCTCAGTTCGATTCCATTTCCTCATCCATGATGGCCATGAAACCGCAAACCCACCCGATCAAAGAAGCCTGCGCAACGGAACCAACTGCTCAAAAGAAGTCAAATGGTGCAACTGGGTCGCAACTTCGCATTCCTTCATCCATCAATAACAGCAAGGGCAGCCTGGCCGAGTTTGCAGCTCAGGTGAGAATTCCCTATACTAGAAGTGATGTCATGGCACGAGCTAACGTTTCATGTTTCGTTAAAATAGATGACTTGCCTCTTCTGGTTCGAAAAGACCTCAAAATTGCAAGCCATCGAGGAACGCCAACACCCCGTTCCTTCCCTGGTCGCTGAAGCCGTACCCACCGTCGGATTTCAGAAATGGGTTGCCACGATTCTCTCCACTACGCAAGTCAGCCAGAACGTTATCCTACTGGCCCTTCTGTTTATCTACCGCCTGAAAAAGTTCAACTCCGGGGTCAAGGGCAAGAAAGGCAGCGAGTTTCGGTTAATGACGGTTGCGTTGATGCTCGGCAATAAATGTGAGTGTTCTCATCGGATTCACCGCCCTTGGACTTGATTGGACAAAATAGCTGACTCATCAACAGACCTCGACGATAACACTTACACCAATAAGACATGGGCTGAGGTATCGGGTATTGCGGTGCACGAGATTCACATTATGGAGGTCGAGTTCTTGAGCAACATTCGCTACGATCTTTTCTCCTCTGAGGACGAATGGTCCCGGTGGCACACCAAACTGGGACTCTTCGGTGACTATTTCAACCAGGCCTCGATGCTACCCGTCGAGTCAGCCGCCATGCTCCGTGTTTCGCCTCCCCGCGTGCAATCACTGTCGCCATCGTCCAAGTTGCCGTCGCCTAGCACCGATGCCTTCCGACCCCAGTCGCAGCCCAATTGGTATATGCCACCTAATGGATTGCCATACTCGCTGCCGTCACAACACATAGGCGGTGAGACTGCGACGGGAGGCTCTCGGAAACGCAGCCGCGACGAGAGTGATGAGCTTCATCCGACCAAGCGGCTTGCGCTGTCTTCCGCCACATCTGCACCTTCGATGACGGTCCCGGTGACTGCCATGAACACGGTG